ACGGTTGGCCTCCCTCGTCGACAATGTTCTCGAACGGACATCGGAGGCTTCTCTTACCTTACCCCCGCCCTCCCCCTGCCCCCGGCACAGCTCCGCCGCTCTGAAATAGGGTGGCGAGATTTTCATCTTACTCGCCGAGTACTTGGCGTTTCTCGATTACACCCACCCCGTTCTCCAGCCACGATCAACGCCACTTTCGGTCAGGAGGTAAACGAACTGGGATAATGCGCCTCCGAGAAACCTTCGAAATCGCGTAAGACCCCGGCTATTTAACCTTTGCTAATGATAACCAAGCGGGAGCGTGATGTAACGTCGAGACCGACGAATATCGCAACCTACTCGCAATCTTTTACAGCCCGTTTTTACGTTTCCCGTTTCGGCTTGCATCATTTTCGCGATTCCATTCAACGAAATAATTACCGGTATCGCGTATCGATCGGCTTGAAATTTCACCGACGAGCGCGGTCCGAGGCCATCAATCGGCGGCGGTACATCGTTATTTCTCGCGATAGGCGTCGACAAATTTAAACCGCATTAATTAGTAGCTCGATCCGATAATGACAAGGAACGATAATTATGATCGGGGGCTGGAGTGGAACGCGCAAAAAGCGGACGTAGAGAACGCGGGAGCGAGAGGGAGTGAATCCGCGCTGGAACACGGGGGGGTCTGTCTCTTGCCCGCTGAAATGGAGTAATATCGATTTCACGCGGAGGCCGGAGAGAGAAAGAGAGAGAGGACCGGTCTCGAGAATGCCAGAGCCGAACGATAAGTCGCGACCTATTCTGCCTTCGTTTGAACCGCTTCAACCCCCGTTTGACCTGAACCAAAGGTTACGCTCGTTCCTTATTCTCCTTGCAGAAGTGCCACCCTCTCGTCGGTTCGCGGGTTATTGGAACCTCTCGCCGAAGAACCGCCCACGTGTAACGAGCCACCCACGCGTTAATCTCGCCGTGTGTGTCACGGTCTTGGGGAATCGAAATAAGAGCGACGAAAGGAGAGAGCCGCACGGTTTGTCGCGCCGGCTTACAGCCACGGAACCTTGTACTTCTGTTTATCGCGCTGTTACGATCTAAGAGACGTTTTTCACCCCATTTTCTGGCCGCGCGAGACTTAACAAAACGGCATAAAAGTCGTAAAGGAAAAGTTGTACAGCGATTCTGACACCCTTTGCGCTCGTCGGCTACTCGTTTCTACACCCTGACGAAGGGTTGGAAGTTTTAAACGAGTATCTGTGGGGCAATTGATTCAAACCATTAATAAGAGAGATTAACGAAATGTGTTCTGGAATATAGCGCGGCGCGTGAAACAAAGAGAAGCCCGCAGGGGAAAAGAAGTATCTATATACTCCGTCCGTGACAGTCCGTCGGTTAAATAAAATATAATCGCCGGTGTAATGCCTCCTTCTAAATCAATATAAGGTAGAGAACGACACCGAGGCGTTTCTTCAACCTTCCATCTTCCCCGTCTTATTCTCCTAGCTTTCTCTCTTGAATAAACGAAGAGGAAAATCGTCCATACGGCTTCCATTCCATTATAGATTCATCGCGCACACATATGAGAGCGTCGTAAACCCATCGCGGTCTTTGTTTACTGGAATTGTACAGGGATCGTTTCGGTTTCCGGGGGAAATATCGAGTGAAAAATGCTAACCGCGTCTGCCGCTTCCTTTTACGCGCGAATATCAACGTGGATTATCCGATCACGTACCCGAGGATTTTGAACAATTTTTCAGGCTCGCTGAGCACCCCTTACTTCGCTCCGGTGGAAGGCGAGAGACGTTAAACCCAGTCCTTCCGGTATCGAAACGGCCTCGCGCATCCCGCGGTTACGCTCAATTGTAAATTTCGTTGCGGAGACTTTTCGCGTATTGCACGTACGTATCAGTTATCTGCCATTTGCGCGGCTCGTCCGAAATAGTGGAAACTAGTCAAACGTTGACCGGACGGAAATCTACAATGGGCGAATCGCGGCGGGGAGGACGACGAACCAAGGTTCAACCGATCGATCACTTTTACCCGGTGCGTAATTCGATTGTCATCCGGCTGACAGTGTCAAACATTCGCTTTGAGCCACCGAAATTACAAACAACAATAAAGCTTTTATCAAAACGGGTTGTCAGTTACAGGTTGGTTGAGTTACAGTTGGTATCGGTTATTGAAGGGTGCTCGAGACGCTCGTGGAACACACGAGAAAGAGACCGACTCGAAACAGAATGTTATTACGGTTATGCGTCACGCCGCGCCAGTCGCGCAACTATGCTGAAACGGACAGACGGTCGGTGAAAACACGCTGAAGGGTAATTCGCTATAAGACGCGTTTTATCCGACGGATCTCAAAGACAATGCTCCCGAATCTACGACAAAGGATCCGCTAAGCTTCGACTGAGTAAATTATTAATTACACAGTACCGAGCGCTCCACCGAATCGTAACCCGTTAATAATAATGCTGACACCGACGACTCGAATGCCCCGTTGGTTACGTGGATATTACCTGTTCACTGGACGGCTTACGAACGACCTACACACACCTTTTCCAGGTATTTGCAACATTCTCCTCGGCTTCGAAACAAAGTCGGTATGTATTTGTCAGGTGCGAGTTCCTTACAAATTCTATGCGAGTTCCTTCGCCTTGGGACGAGTACGAAATCAGGTTCTACCTCGTAAATCTATACCCGAGAGCCGGTGAATCTCCGCCGTGACGTAATCGTCGATGCGGAGTTCATAATTTTTCGCTCAACGGATTTACCATCGGCACTGTCCATTCGCCAATGAGTTTATTACAGCGTGGCTAACGCGTTCATTACTTGTTTTGATTGCCCCTTTAAATAGCCATTTTGTCACTGCTCACGGCGTTACGTACATACGTACCATCGGCTGTATCGATGGAAAATAAGGAACATACGAGCAGAATGGGTCGAATGTATACTGATTGCTAGAGCTCTGACGGTCGATTTTGCGTATCGTGCGTGCTCGATACCCAAGTTTGTGTTCGGCACAGAGTTTGCAAATACAAAGGCAGGTAATGTAGCCGTGCTAAGCGGCTGAGCACGTTACACTGCATTACAAATCGCGCAGAAACACGGCCGTGCTCGCTCGCGTGTACACACGCGCGCGCACACGACCGCGTGCCGGTTGGCAACGCTGCGAATGCGTGCCCTCCGAACTAGTAACTCTCTTTCCCTGCGCCTCTGTCTCCTTCGCAACTTTCGTTCTCCGCTTTTCTAAAACCCGTAGGTATGCGATACCGCAGCATCGTCGAGCCGGAGTTACCGTGAATACGCAAATAAAAGGAAACCTGCGACACTAATTGAACACTAACTATATAACGAGATTCGACAAATTGAACGAAACGGTATACATGGAAATACTACTGATAGTCCCTCGTGGATATCGTTTTGCGTCGCGTCGAATTTTAATATTACGAGCATTTAAAAACTGACTGATTTGTAGACTTTATTTATTTATCTCGGTGTGAACGAATCGATAGCCGAGTTGTCACGCGCTGAGGTACAATTTTCCCGTTAAAGATATTCCCCGAACTGCATCGGCATCTTCCTGAAACTTTCTGTTCGCGGTATGACTCAATCAATACCGTGAGAACCAGACTTCCACGAATATTTTTATTTACGGTATAACACTTGAACGGGCTATGAAATATGATGAGTCAATTGAATAAAAAGAAAACATTTAAATCACCCGCGTGCGGCTGGACAGAGAAGATCGACCGATGGCGATTTAATCGTACGGTACGAAGACAACTAGCCGTGAAATTAGACACTAAACAGAAAGCTGGGAAGAGATACGGGACGAGCTGTGCGCGCGATTGAATTAGATCAACGCGAACCGATAGCGGGTAAATTTGCGATAATGGTTCGCGGGATTTTATGGACGCCGGCTATCTTCCCTCCTCGCTCGCTCTCTCTACGCGCCGATAGAAGAAGATCGACTCGAAACACGTACGGGCACACCGCAAGGCTAGGCTATACACGGGGTGAATAAGCAATAAAATCAAGCGTGGAATGGTGCTCGTTTTCTGCATACTTTATGTCCTCTTGCATCGGCCCGCTAGGCATCCGCTGGCATACTTCAACTGTTCTAAGGGTATGCGCAAGTTTTAGATCGGTTCTCGAATACGCTTTGCTGTAGGTACGCGCGCGTATCCGGAGGACCCGTGGCGAGCCTCTTGAAAACACTTGTGCATGTTTATTTTTTCCTCGATACGAGGAGCTCGGATTTCCTATTGACAATGACGCTCGTAATTGTCAGTCGTTGTTTAACATGTTAATTATTGAACTATGTACTTATTGAAACGTTCTTTTACATGAAGTGTAACTTAAGGATGTATTGGCTATACAGTCAATCCCAAAAGTTTATGTACCTTAGAAAAACGCATTTCCTATAATTAAAAATAGTGAATTCTTCTTCTAATTTC